ATGCTTCGGCACAAATGGATCTGCTCGACCGGAGTGATACCACGGCCTCACAGAAAACCGGCGTGAAACAACCACAGCGTTGTGTTTCGCCGTGTGAGTGAGGTTACCGGAGACCCAATCCCTAAATCTCCCAAATCCCTAACCCCCAAAAAGGTCGGCAACGCACTCATAACTCCTCTGTTGTTGTGGGTGTCCATGAGCGGCGCTGATTGCTTACCATCAGGTAATCCGTCTGCTCATTTGCCGACCTACAACAAAAAACAATACAAAATTCAGAATTTCCATGTTATTATGAAGTAACAATAGCTCTCGCTACACTTCCTAATCACGTCAAAAATATGTACTAGGTAAACTTATATGTATATGCCGAGTGAAAACCTTATTAGTGATTTTTGAGAACCCCAATAATAATTTATCAATAGTGCTTGTTGTACATAGTATCATTTTGAAATGCGATAAAAAACAAATAAATAATTGTAGAACAAAATAATAATTCGGCAATTTGTCATTGTACACCACTATGTGTTTAAATATATTGTTGACTTGTACTGTGTGTATGCGTTAACATCACGCTATGACCAGCAGTCGAAGACCGGGTAAAATCGCAAGGGACGAGCTAGTTCAGTATAAGTACTATGAGACCTGGCCTGTCCCATTGATCGAGTGCGGTTACCGGGTCGGGTGATAGCGTTTTTGAGGCCTCCACGGTTTTTCTCGTATTGGTATAATCTCATGTCTGAACGCTTTTCAGTAAATATAATATAGGATCACATAACAGGAGAAAACCGAGTTCGTTCTTCCTCTGTCTACCCCTTTAATTAGTGGATTTATGATTAAAAAATTAAAGTTAATTTATATTAATTTTATAGATTTATAGATTCAGTTGGTCTTATATTCTTACTTGTCTACTAGCACTTACTACCGGTTGCTTAACTATTTACTAGTAATACATTGATGTTTACGGGTTCGTTTGCTTTTACATTTGCACTAATGCGTGATATTTCGCACTTTCTTACCATTCAGTGTCCTACAAGACTGGTTGCTTACATATTCTAAGATATTCTTCCAAACAAGTTCATTGTAAAATTATTCGAGCTCGAGTATGCAAGTTTTACTGTATAAAACAATATTAAATGTTAGTTGATAGTAGTCTCTGTAGAACATGTTAAACTATGTCAGTAAGAAAAAGGACTATGGCATCCGCTGTTAACATGGTTCCCATGGGTGTTCTAATGAAATGCTCAAACAGCTTCACGCTCTGGCAAGTAGCACCGTTGCGCGTGGTCCTGAAGGCAGTGACGTCACCAACGACAGCGTCGGTGGCTGCGCATGGGCACGTGGACTCGTGGAGGCCTCGGGCGCATCGAAAGTGAGACCGCGGTCGGTGCGCGAGAAGGGGGGGGGACAGGGTCGATGACCCCGCGCATCCGACCGATCCGCACTTGTACAAGACCGTCGCATTGTTTCAACATCCCGTGGCTTACACTCTAGCTTCGCTTACTCAAAGAAACCGTACAATATTTGAGGTAGTAGGCTAACTCATTGGCCGCACCACTTGACATTGCGTTTGTGTACATAACTCAGTATTCACAGAATCTCTTCTCACTCTCAATAAGGAATGGTTCACTTACGTTATCTATCATCGGGTACTAGCTTTTAGCCTAATTAGTAAGTTATTAATAAGAGAAGATATCGTATAATGTTTTGTTAGTAGTACGTTTCTTGTAATTATCGAGCGGAAGCGAGCAGGTGAAGCGAGTATCCGTTTCGTCGCTCTGCTGGCTCACTACGAGCACGTAGTGACGCGGTGACATCGTATACAGCCTAGTGGCAAACACGTATCGTTCTACTATTTAAGGACCTTAAAACAAACGATTCCAGCGACGAAAATTTAAAGAAAACATATCGACTTATTCAGCAGATGTATTTTTTAAGTAGCAAGCAATTTAATGATGTTTGTACTGGTGTATAATTCAAGCAGTTAGTAGTTCAAAGCTTATGTTTAAAGTTATCGCTCATATATGAAAGATTTTCCAGGTTACTGATAACAATGTTGATGTAATCATCACACACACCTAACTCATATTACTTAACGTGAACGAAAACTCACTTGTTTATCAAGAACAAACAGTCTGTACCAAAACTTGTCGTTGAGCCAAATGGTCCGTATAATTTTTTGCCACATCATATCATCTACCTATTTAATCATTCCGCATAATAGTTATGCTGTGCCGATCACTGACCGTTCAAGTAGGTATTGCGTATTAGCACCAAGGTCAAGCTTGAGGCTCTGCAGGTGCCCCCGTTAGCCGCTCCATATATCGATTGGATATCGAATAAATACATACTTTTGTAAATGTATGATTAATTTATGTGTAATCCTTAAGAGTCCTACTAATGATGACACATGAAATGATTAATTTTTTACCTGTCCGAATCTTCTAAATAGAACATGACATGATATTATTTGGATTCAATACATTTCTTTAAACTAACAATTTTTAAATATCGTTTCTCAAATGGGATTGGACGTATACACGCAGAGATGTGTTTCTCATAAAATCCAATTGTCATTAAGTAGGTACTATTCTAGCAAGGTATGAACTAAATTACTAGCCGACCTCAAACACTCGGTTGAACCCGAGAAATTAAATTGCTTACACCCAACAAAAATATTAGCGACCATTCTCATTAATTCGAGGCTGATGGCGATTGTCAATTTTATATTTTTTAAATAAAAAATAAAGATAACACAAAGCTGATTTTAATTTTCTTTTAAGTAAATACGATAAGCAATGACCAATATTGACATAACGTTTTAACTAATAAGTGTTATCTGTTTCTAAGACTTTTATTATGAGTATAGTTTAAATAACTTGGTCGTTATAGAAATTACCATCTAGACCACTCACCCAATGCTAGACTAGCCCCCATCATATAAAAGAACTTAACATAATCTTATCTCTTGGCAGGGATGGAGAACTGTCTTTGTCAAATCTGTAGTGCTTATACGTAAAATCCGATCTTTATTAAAAATCTATGGAACGGTGAATATTGATCTAAATATTTATAAAACCTTCGAACAATCTTCTTTTTCTTCTTTAATTCAAATATTTTGGAATCAGATCGATTATTTATTGTTGTGAGTCGGCTCGTGGACCCCACTTAGAGTTAGTGTCAAACGTATTCTACTCTCTGGTCACAACAAATCTTGAAGCTTCCCTGTAACATTCACTATAATATAATCAACCCCTTTACGTCTACTATTATCATGGCAATATATCAAATATTATATTTGATAATATTACTTGCTATTGTTTTCGGAGGTGCTAAATGATTGTAATCATCTCTGTAACGTGTAATTTCCTGGAGCAATATCAACACCTTATCATATTCTTATGTCATACATAATGATAAAAAGCACTCGCGAGATCGTTTGAAGTAAATAATAATTTATCGTTCAATTCATAATTAAAATATTAAGTATAGTCATGCCTATAAGCCTATATACATATATATACATATGTAGTACAATTGTATTCTGATTACATACATATTAAAAGGAACAATGTTACTGGTGCTTTTTTTTCGTGATACGACAAACGAGCATACCGTTTACATAGTAGTACGGATGTAAACCCGCAACACCAGAGGAGTTACGAGCGCGTTGCGGGCCCTTTAGGTATTAGGATTTCGGAGATTTAGGAATTAGGGAGCGATGAGGGAGGGGAGTGATTGAGTCTCCGGTAAACTCACTCACACGGCGAAACAACGCTGTGATTGTCTTACGCTGGTTTCTATGAGGTCGTGGTATCACCACGACGACGGGTCGACCCGTTCGTGGCAAAGCATGGCTCTCCCGCACTTATAACACACATACTTAGGTTTAAATAAACAAGAAGGAGGCACAGATGTTCAACAACTACATAGTCCAAAGCCTGCCTGGAGTGATTCCAGATTTCGTTATTAACTAAGAGAAAATCTGTTACACTCCGATGTTGTAAGAACCGGGGAATCTTAAGTACACCATTCAACTTTTTATCTGATCCATATCTTTCGTAATGTAAAAACAAGTCTGAGCTACTGAGAACCTAAACTAATAATCCAATCTAATTCAAAGTCCCATCAGTAAGCATTTTTTTCTAGCCCTATTTACCAAGTCTAATACTTTGCGACTAACAACCACAAAATTAAACGACGTGATTAATAGCATAATATACTTAACGTATACCACATTCGACTACACACCACATTATAATAAAACTCTTGTACATCAATCAGGTCTAAAAGAAATTATGAATAAAAAAGTTCCAAAACACATTCATTGAAAGGTAAAAAATTCTAAGTAGCATTGTTTATGGCAACTGTCACAGCATCCCATTACTTACATAATATTTTATTTAAGCCAACATTAGGGTCACATGTTGCTTGGCAATCGTAGAATCGTCTTTGTGTACTTTTAATTTGTTGATACTTATCGCGGGACACCGCAGGTCACCGAGTGGAAACCGTTAAGTCTGAGAAGTCGACGCGGCAATGAATATGTATTATCATTAGAACAATTTACTTGGCTCGCTTGCATACTTTGTCACTCATAACTGTATTCACCTTATCCCAAGTGACTATCCCTCAAAATATATTCAGCTTAAAATGGTTTCAGCGGTAGCTCGATTAACTTTAGTACCTAATAAAGCATTTGCATGTACTCATGACTTTTCAGAACTTCCCCATCGAACGTGTATGTATTATCTTACCACGAATTTCAATAGTTATAGAATTTACATGGTAATCGTGGCTATATGTGCATAATTAGTTTCATCGATATTTTTGACCAACCTATTACAATATCGGTAAATGTGATCATAGTTAACCGTAGCGCATCTTCATATTTACTTAATTTGAAGGGTACGATTGGCGCAGTAGATCCGCTACCTTCTGGTATATTGGTATCGTGGATTTAATTTTTGTTCAGAACAAAAATCTATTTATATGATCTACAGGATATGTTAACACGTTAAACGCCATGGGGGTCACCGCTAGCGGAGGATTTGCCTTCAACAGTTTTCTGTCGGCAGTCAAAGGCAAAGGTATTAAATGTAAAGAAATAAAGAAAAAAATTGTATGTGCTGTTTCGATATTATGAATACTGAACCTAATAGTACTCTAAACACATCGCTGTTCCATAAATATATTTTAGTTCCACTGATTTGCAATTCGATCGATTCTACGTGAACAAAGTGCCGCAACGTACACAACACACAAATGCTTACACCCTATATTGTACTGTTTGTATTCCTCACAGGAGTGAATTTCTTTTATTCTGATTCAGAAGTCGTTCACTTTCGGTGGATGGTTATCTCGACTTCTTTGTTCGATATTGCTTAGATTGGTAAGGGTTTAAGTGCACGCGTCTAGTTGGCCACCTAGAACCCTGTTAAAGTGAGCCGACATCGTGTCATTAGAGGGCGTGAATATTTAAGTAGAGATGGCGGGAGCGGGCCGCGGTTTACTTCCATTCCCGCTTGGGTTATAGGACGGTTGGGATTACCTTCTCATTGAATTAATTCTGTTTGCTGATGAAAAAGGCGCCACCAAATTCCATTTTACCCAAATGGATCAATAGTTTGCATACACGGGTACCGAGTTTGGTTCCTAATTATATTTTTATTTCTACTTGTATAGTCAGTTCAGTTCAGGAATCAGTAGTTACCCAGTGGTTTAGTACCTGTTAAAATATTTTAAATAATAATCTGTCCAGATACTCATTTACTGACTATTAAGTATGTGATCTCATTTGTGTAAGGACATTTTATTTGAATTTTACCGAATTCTTTATTTTTTTTTTGCCGAAAATCGCTTCATCGAACAAATAATCTAGGAAGATGTTTAACAATTGAATGTTTTTCGAAATAAAAACCTATACCTCGTGGGTTTAAGTGAGATGCTGTTGAGACCCAATAGTTCAGTTGGCATACACCAACACGGGAAGTTGGTTGTTGCGAGTTCAGGTCCGAACTAGACCCATCTTTTTAATTTTGATTTCGAAACCTATGCAGTTCTACACCTTATTTGTTTGTTGTAAATGGGTGTAAATTGGATGTTTTGGACAAATTTTCATAGTTTCTTTTAGTTTGAGTATTAACGAATACAATATACTTTCACGTAACACTTCACAGGCAACAAGAATATAAACAAAACAACGTTTCCTCTTTCTGTAGTTAGTGTAAACTTTGTAATTTCACAGAAGCCATGACGCTACAATAGGGTAAATCGAGGTAGACCAATATTGTTACACAATAAAGCTTCGTCTACAGCCTAGTGCACAACTGTTTACCCCATATTGTCCATATTGGTTAAATGATGCAGCTATAACGCCCTCGTAAACCTCGAGACGCATCGCCAACTGTTCCCTACCACTGAGCGAAGCTAACTCGATTCATTATTATTATCTGTCTTAATTGCTACCTCTAAATATCTCTGTACACTCAATAGTATTTAATAATATTTATTTCGTTTACCACCTTCATGTAAAGTTGAAATATAAACACGAAGCAACAAAAAAGCCTTGAGACTTGTAACGAAGCCATTGTCATCATAACTCCCAAGTTATGGTTGTTTGATATTAAAAAAATCCAGTTCGAAAGGTGCTAACAAACATTTGTACAGACGAAAGGCACTTCGGTCTGTTTGTATGGTCATGATACTAAGATTTTTCCTCTTCGGTTGGCTTGTTGAGTTTGTGTTAATCGTCATTACATTTCGCTGGCGGAATCTTGCCGGATTCTATTGTTCACGCGCTTTGCGTTACGCAATCAAGAGGGGTCATTCAGTCCGCGCCCAAAAGTCGCACCCGCGAAGTGGAGAACAGTCATATCCTATCGATTTGTTAAGATGGCGTGCGCGGGAGGGTTACGGGGGGAGCATGAGGGTGACGCGGGTGGTAAGGGTGGGCGCAGCCTCCGCGCGGCGCAACGTGCAGCCTCACTTGCACCTGCCCTGCCGTAACCACGACACACTAGCGACATCGCGCCGCACGACCTATGTGACGCTTGTTGTACACTGCCCACCACGTCGCGTCACCACATGACGTGAGGTCGCGACACTTTTTTTATCGGTGCCACGTTTCTTTTTGACTACCTGTAACTGGTAACCCGAATTAATTGAATATTAATGATTGTCATTAAAATTCTAAAAATGACCGTTTTCCTAACTATCCCTACTAACCCGAATCCGCGTGAGCTCATCAAGATACTTTCGACCAAAAAAATGCATGTAATGTCAGGCAAACCACTAAACCAAAAGTCAAGCTAAACGAAAAAAAAAATGCTTATACAAGAGTCGTCGAGGTTTTTCTTACTCAAGCTCTCACGTATGTACGTCAAATTCTAGAAGTAAACGTAGTACTAACAATGTCCATATAAACGTTATAGTTGTCGTAGGTCACGGGAATATCAAAGTTGTCGACAGTGTACACGCACCTTTACTCGGTGTATACGCACCTCTACCCGGGATCTCGAGTCGCGCCCTCGACGACCGTGGCGTCCCGGTCTCCGGTGGCCGACGTTCAGGCCGTCAAGGTCGCAGACAAGCCCTGGCACACTGTTACACATTCTAACTATACACTTTTAATTGGCCGTTATGTGTATACTCATCCTTTTTTCACCTTATTATTCATTAATCTTTTATGAGCTTATACTGTACGCTTGAATAAGCTGTATACTTTCACTTCGGAAATGATAAATATTTTAAATTTTAATTTACTCGTGCCGTACATACGCCTGATACGTACAAGTTTTAAAACAATTTCTGTAGTCGACAAAAGCGTTCGATGCCCTGTCAAATTTTTGAATTCGTAATTTTGTAAAGCAACGTACTATGTATAACGTGTATTTTAATCAATATAAGTGTACGTTACTCACACCAATTTGACGAACTTAATTAAAAAAGCAAAGCAATCAGTTTCCTTAAAAAAGTAAAAAACTCCGAAACGGTAAAATTTGGTTACTAAGAGTGACAGGAGAAGCATTGAAATACACTTTTAGTCACAGGTCAGGACGACACTTCATTTGGTGACGTAAAGCGCAAAAAGAATATTTTCTGCCAAACCAATGTTAACGTAATGTGTTTGGAATAAAGTCGAAAACAATGCACTCTCGCGGACCACGAGAGAGTCAAAGCATAAGCAGGCAGTGGCGTGCCGTGTCGTTAAGATTATTCATTTTCGACTTAATACCAACTGCGCTGCCTCTAACGCATCCAGGGGCTTTCCTGTGAGAACTCTTACTTCCCTACGCTTTTGTGTGCGTATCGCGGTGTTTCGTAACAATGTGCTTATTTGATACAACCACAATATTTACCCCTAGTTTCTTCATATAATTTAGTCGAACATAGTTATTGGGATTGGGATTGGGGCTCCGGTAACCTTACTTACACGGCAAAACACAGCGCTGTGGTTACTTTACGCTGGTTTTCTGTGAGGCCGTGTTATCACTCCGGTCGGGCCGAAGGTTACCTCTTCCATACTGTTAAGTATTTTAATTTTTATATTTATATGAAGAAAATTGGAGTTTCGGTCACCCCTTGACAAAAAAAAACAATAAACGACAAAATCTTTTCCTTAGAGTTAATAGTGTTCACCCAAATTGATGCCGTCGTTACGTTTTAATTCCCGCTATAAATGAGACACCTACCGCATTACATTTTGCACCTTCCGGGCACGTTGTCTTGGATTCTATCTCCACTGCTAATAACAAGAGCTCTAACATTAAATAACACATAAACAGCACAAGTTGTAGTCTGCAAGGACCTCATACTCCACTCCCTTAGATTTCGGATGGCCGGTGCCAGGTTTCCGCCAGCTAAGTTTACCTAAGGTACACATACGGCATCGGCTAACCGACAACCGAGCTATTATAAGTAAAACAATACATTGAATGATACGCATGTGTATATGCATAGGCGATAAAAAAAATGTGATTATATCCTATTTTGATATGATGCGGTGTGGAAATAAATCGGCGCACATTTTATTTTGTCGTGCCTTACCTAAAGCCTGTCATAAGATAAGAATTGTATAAACCATAAGACTATATTTAACAAGTTAGCGAAAATACCTTACTACGAAATGTCACTGTGCTGGCATACTCTGAAGAGTTCATTATTATATAATTGACACGGAAAAAATACCACATTATTAATTATAGATATTAATTCATAGTTCAATGGGGAAAAAACGTAGTGCTGCCTAACTCTTGGAACCTTATTGGGGTCCAATGTATATTGGTAAAAGGTTTGCTGACGTATTGTCGTGATCGCTCAACTACCCACTAATTATATGTATACTACGTTAATATACTAATTATTTTCTTGATGTCTAACGTACACAAACCACACAACACAAATGTCCACCGATAGTGCACCGCTAAATACGCAAATACGCACGCAGCCCCTGTCTCGCTGCAAGGATGCAAACTAAAAACCAGTGTTGGGTTCTCACTGAGCCGAACTTATACTGAGACCCATTGGCTTGGGCTTATTGCTAGCTCGTTTATTTAATATGTTTGTTTTTGTTTGTTTAATTTTTAACTTTGCGTATTTTTTTTTGTGATCGTTGATTTCATATCTGTGGATATTTTGATGCATCGTACCTGCCGAATAAAATACTTTCTTTTATTCGTTTTTAATCAAACCGTGTTGGGTATATTAGGATAGGACTTTAATAAATTGTAGTATTATTTCAAAACATGAATAGTGTGCGCGAGATACTTTCTAATGTGCGTACGTATCGTATGATAAAATTAATACAAAATATTATAATGTATATTACTAGATCTTGTTCATACAAATTTTCTTAGCGCTTTTTTAAAAGGACATATATCGCAAAATAACTTTAATCCTACGGACATGGACAAGCCAAACACACTTTGCTGTTTACTTAACCAAATTCTAATCTGCATGTAATTTAATCCGGATTGTATGAATTGTCACAAACCGAAAAATCCGATAATGCCTTCTTGCTAGGCTCACAAATCGCAAGTTGAAATCTCGGAACGTCATTCTTCAGCTTTCGAGTTGCGTTTACGGCCACTTCGCCAACGAAGCAATTAATTTAACTGTTGTGAATAGCAAGTGTCGTTTTGTGAACAAAAAAAAAAACCAAAATTATTTCAATATTTGGCTTGGCTACAATTCCCTGTGAAGGTTACATGAAATGTGTAAACTATGATCGTGGTAGTGGGTAAAGCCAATGTTGACGACTTCTAAAAAATTAAAATATAAACTTATTTGCATCCGAATTAAGATACCCATCGTCTATAGAAAATTCATTAGGTGAAGGTTATGAAGTGGTATTAAGCGTATACTGAGGTCTCATTGTTGTCAAAGGACCAAAGGTTTAATGATAATCTACAAAAAAAATAAACGGTCGGAACCAAGTAAAAAAATATACCATCGATATGGTATATTTTTTTTACCTTTGTGTCTAACGTTTTCTTAACCTTAGGACATTAGGATTCTGTCCTAACGTTGTTATTTAAAAAAAAAACGTTTCTCCCATGTCATGGTTGCGTATACAACCATACAATTTTACATAGTCGTTACACCCAGACCAAGAACAGCAATTTGTTGTTTCGTGAGAAACCGAATTCGCGTCACACTGCACGGCATCAAGTTGTCCAGCCACCGCGTTAACTATGAAGTCAAACCAACTAACTTGATGTAACAATTCGCTTTCATTTTCATACGTCGAAGAAAACAGCAAATCACACTGTGTCAAGAATAATGTTGTAAACCTTAGTAACTCTTGAATTATTTTGCAGTGGCCCAGTCGGAAGACTCACCAATCGCGATGAAACTCAAGAAAATATGCCTTAAAACGCCGGTCGGCGAGGAACAAGCAGCACAAGCAGTCCTCGACCCTGCGCTAGGTGAGTAATATCTTTTCGAATCTAACTTACTCTTAAATCAAGAATGACATGGTCAAGTAACCACCCGTTGTTCACTTCCGCGCGCGCCTGAAAGAGCCAATAGACCACCACAGACGGGGCCCTATAGGGCTGATGTTCAGCCGGGGTTGCGGGGTAAGGGCAATGAGGCACCGCGACCTCGGCCAAGAGCAGGCGAACGAACAGGGGATTTTTAGTCAGTAAGAGTGACACTCCCTCCCGCCCGGCCCTGGGCGGGAGATGTCATTTGTTGATTTTCCCCTCACAAAAAACCCGTTGTTCACACCTTATATCCTAAACTTCTGTAAAGCTTTCGGTTGTATTATCTAAAAACTTATTACAGCTGCTAAGCATATTTGATATAAAATACTCATTTTAATGTTGTGTTAGCCATTAGAGCAAGTCTACGAAAGGGCTTAAGTAAAAAGTGTAATAACATTTCAAGTTCAACTACTTGAATTTCAAACAGCATAATAACTAGATCTTGTTTTCTTTGTTGAACTACTCACCGCTACTAGATGAGTTTGAACTTGGTTTATAAATTTTTATTTTGGAAGTGTAGCTGCAAGCACAGCGTAGAATGTAGCTCATTGGGGTACTGAAATATTCATACGTAACCTTAATTACAAGTGAATATTTAAGTGTATTAGGAATATGCTCTACTCTAAATATTAAGTTCATGATGATGTATGATGGTAGCGGACATAGTTAGGTCCAACGTGTCGCCGTCCCGTTGATTGAATTGTGCTTTTATTTCCCATCACGCCACGCATCGAGGCTATGATGTCATCGATTTAATTGCGGCGACCACTTCATTACCTACCTATAAAAGCGACATTTATTTCAGTCTTCAACGAAATAAGCTTCAACGAGTCTGACATCGGTCGATCGATCTGTGAAAACTTTACGGTGTCGTTATCTTTTTATGCAGCGTTTTGATTTAATTTCCCTTTCCAATGTCAAGTTTCGAGTTTAGCGAGCGACGTCGCTAACTATTTCTTTTACTGCCGTTTTATATCTTTGGTTGTAGGCCACCACCTCGGCCGACAGAGTTCAGTATGCGTGACGGGTTACATCACATTTCTCTGTATACACCGTCCACGTATGTGATATATGAAGCGTTGCGCGCCTATGTGTAGGTACAGGGTAGACATTCGTGCACAGGTCGTTAATGGTACAACGTGGATCTGTTGTGTGGTACGCGGGTGGAATAACCTATAATTAGATGCGCGTACACCAATCCTCAGTCGTGGAACTCGTAGATGTGTCGTTTACGCTACATCCGTTAATATATTTGATGCAGGAACATTGTCGAATTTGCGCATACCATACCGAAAGTCAACGCATGCAAAGCACTAATCGTGCGACTTATTGTTTTTATGAGCATAATAAATTATAAATGTTTGGTGTATAAGAACTTGACCCCCTTTATTTGAACAGAATACCTCTATATAATATTGTTTATATTGTTCTGAATTTTGCTCTTTGCTAACATTTTCTCAATTGTTTACTTAATCGGTCAACCCGTTTATTACTAGCCAGACTAGCCACGTGCTTGGCCAGAAAGTTTCACATCATTTACTCGGAAAATCCAGCTGTAAGCTTTAACCTTGGGAACCAAAGAACCCATATAAACGTTTCCTAATTATTTAGGGATTTGATTATTAAGTTATGAATTAGTGAAGTTAAAAAGATGAAAGTGGAATTTATTTTTGTTCTTTTAGTTGAAATTGATGACAATTTTATCGATATTTGCGTATTTGATGATATGACCACCAACTTTGCTAAGTAAGATATGTATTATGGTTTGGGTGTTGTAGGAAAAATATATTTTTCATCTGTAGCTCAAAAACATAAACGCGCTTGTAAACTATCATATCTGTAGAACCTTAACTCACACATGGCTTATTTTACCTAGCTTGTGTACAATTTGCAGCCGTACAAAGTGGGGGGTTAAGGGGGTGGGTCTCGCGTATCGGGCGGCGTGATAAGTGACGACTATCCGTCAATGTGTTGCATAGGCGAATGTATGTGAGGTGGTGGTATCGGACAATAGGAGCTCGTCGGTGCATTTCGGCGGCGGAACGCGGGGATCGGCACGGGTGGTGGCGGCGGCGGCGGTGTTTCTCCGGCGTGCGTGGCACTGCAGTTCTCCTCCACGGCCGGTAATTTGATTGGGCCCGAGCTGTCACCTATGCGCCGCAGTCGCCCGGCCGTCGCTCGCCGGCTATCGATTAGAGCCCCCGCCCCCTGCCCCCGCGCTGCCCGCGAACCGGATCTCGTCACGCCGCCATTGTATACCCGCGACGCTTAAACGCATTCGTTTCTCCCGATGCGAAAACGACGCATTCCTTCCGCGCGCCCTCCCGCCCCGCAACGGCCGACCGCGCGCCACACCGCGCGGCGCCACACAGGACCGACCGACCCTCTCATTACACTCTTACCACATTACCACTCCAAGCCTCACGCTGCCGCACCGACCGCGACAAGCGTCATCGGCAAATGACAATAAATTACATAACACAATTATTGTCTACTAAATAATCTCTCCCATGAGCTGCCTATCATTAATGCATTATAGCATTTGCCTTTTCCTATTTTACAACAAAAGCAAAACGAAATCGTCTTTGTAAGTTAATGCTGTGCGTGAAGCAAACTATTTCCAAGACAAGCTTCAGCTGGGAGATGTAAATCTAAATGATTATTGTGTATATTCAGAACTATGACCAAATAAAAATGCAATACTATCAACTGGTTGATCGCCGTACTATTATACTACGAGTAAATGACGTTGCAACAACACTGCGCTCGCGCAGATCAACGTACTAACATTGTTGTGCAATTCAGTATTAGGTCCACTTGCACTAACTACTTACCTAAGCTGGTTTCGAGGCGAACTATCATTAAAATTTGGGTTACAAATGTGACTTAAATTATCCTAGCTAGATACCAACTTTACGTCACAGATAAGGTAGCACACGTATTTTTTCAAAATTATTGTGGCACAGTATCACACCTCGCCAGGTTCATTACGTATTGTTGGATATTATGTCAAATGGCAAATTACACGTCTGCACCGGAATTGTAAAAATAGTTTAAATCTGTTTCTATAAGGATGCTTGGTTCTAGATAAGCCTGAAACACCCTCATTGATGTTTCAGGCGTACTGTTATGAAATAGATTAGTCATTGTATTGCATTGGAGTACCGATATCACGGTCGTGGGTCAGGTTGGGAGCCAGACGAGTCAACAAGTAACCTGTTGCTAGTTTGCGACCTTATACTCATAGTAGACCAACTCATACCTTTCTCTTTTTTTTTCTTTTTATCAGTTCAAGGTTGAAGCCTGCCTACCTAGTATAGGGTACATACATCACCTTTGATTCCTTCACACTGTAGTAAACTACGATTTGGAACACATTATATGTGAACTTGGTTGACGAGACTTTTTTCTATTTAGACTGGTTGTTCATGTTTGTTCAGTCGATATTCTTATCTCGATGGCATCCGGGTGTAAGCTATAGGTATACGTCTCTAAGCGTAGTTTATTTAAAAGGATATGGAACATATAAATTATAAAGCAATGATGACACTAAATTACATTCTGATTTTTAGTATCAGTAATCATATTTGTGTCTTCGAAATTACATAGAGGTAACGGTAGTTTCAAGTTCACGCTAGATTCTATATTATTCCGAAATAGATAAGAGTCGATAAAAAATCAGTCACCCCGAGAACTGCATTATCGTACCTACTTAAACGCGAAAGTACGTGCTTTCAAATTTCGGAATAATTTACTTACTTTTTCACGGAAACAATTAAATTCCATCCAGTAGGAATATATTTTTATGAAAATGAAGGTCTTTTTTGTGGGGGAAAAGTAATCAAATGTCTCCTCCCGCTACGGGTAAGGAGATTTTAGCCTAGAACATACATTACACATAGGTTACTTTTCGTGACGCGGGCGAAACCTGAGCAGAAGCTAGTAAATTATGATACACTAGCTACTCTTGTGCGGCTTCACCCGCTGCTCGGCTAACCAGTAAGTAGTTCCTGAGATTAGCGCGTTAAAACAAACTCTTCAGATTTATAATATTTAGTATAGATTAGTAAGTGGATCAAATCAACACACATGTCCAAATGGGCTCCAAACCAAATATATTTGTGAAATATTCATGAGTAGTATATTATGAGTTTCTGACGCTACGTGGTACAAACATTATTTGCCTTACAAAGTTTTTGAATTTAGGATTCAGTGATACACTCATTACAGACGGACTGGTGACGGTCTCGAGTAACGGTACTTATCTATTCTTTAACAACTCGTGCAATATATTCAAATATCCTACAACGTCTCACTCGTTTTGGAAGTTCCTACTAATCGCTGTTTTGTAAAACTGGTTTTTAACGGCGCACCAGTTACTTAATCGTACATACCATGGAGTAGCGTTGTTTCTATGCCGGTAAGAATTGTCAGGCTTTGGAACGCGTCGTTCTAAATTAATGAGTCCTCATCGAAAACCATGGTTCTCGTATAAGGAATTCTTCTAGACAGCTAGGTGTCAATATGAACGAATCGTTGATCATCAAAAGTTAAAAAATAGAATTTTGTTTTATTTTGTTTTTTAGAAAGGGTCGTCAATAGTCGTCATGGAAATCTGGACACTGCTGATACTTATGAAAGCACTGGCTTCCCTCAAGGCTTGGCTGACGTGGTCATCCAAGCATAGGAAGTTTTCCCAAAGCCAACATGTAGGTGCATCAGAATAAAGTGTAGCCCATGATTCACAATCCTTGAAATAAACTGCTACTTGCCCAATTTTTTAAATCGTTTTGGTAGTACTGGAGCGTATTCAACGCAAAAAAGATTTCTTGTAATATTTTTAATATTCAATCATACCTGTTGGATAATGTCTGCATCTTACTTAAGTACTTTCACTGCGTTATACTTTTCCTAAAAAAGCATGGAGGTTAACGACCTAG